GAGGTGTATTAATATTATTTTTAACTAAATAAATGCATCCATCACCTTCTATTAAACCGGCTAGATAAGAACTTAAATAAATATTAGTTTTATTAATTTCTGTTTGTTTATTAGTAAAAGTAGAAAAATATTGTTTTTTAATATTTGTCATAAATATATAATGACTTGTATAATAAATTAATTCAATAGAATGGGAATATTTATAAAATATTTCAAAACTGTTTATTATTTTTAGCGTGTAGTCTCTGAGGATACTATGTAATTTATTTAAAATAAATTTTATTTTAAATATTTTTACTTTCGACAAATATCGAACATCAAATATGATATAGTTTCCTGCTGATTGTGTCAAATATAAAAATTCTATATTTGGCAGTTTCCAGCATATAGCTAAATTTAAAGCTAGCATTAGTTTACCAGCTAATATAATAGAACCACTTAATGGTGCTTCAGTGTGAGCTAAAGGTAACCATTGATGAAATGGTAATAAAGGTGTTTTTATAGCAAAAGAAATAAAAAATCCTCAGGGTTAGGCCTTTTATCATTTCAGATATAGCTGGCTTATTTTCTCAGTATTTATACAATCATATATGGTACAAATACCTTATTTAGGTGTTAATCTAAAATCCGTTACTGGTGAACCGGACCATTTCTTATAATTCCTTAGGACAATTCTATTATCCCATAGGTAATCATGTGGCGTTTGGCCTCTACGCTTTTACAATTAACTTTTCAGTAAATTGACTTAGTTCGACGATATTCTAAAAATAATTACTTATTCTCATTTTTAGAAGTCTCTCGAGTTTGCCACGCAGACTTAATTCATAGTATAAAAATCAGTATTAATTTTTGTAATTATTTTTTTTTTTTATTATTTTTAGTGTAATTACTTTAATGAATAAATCTGTAGGTCATATCTTTAGTAATGTCTTTTTATACATTTTTATCAGTTGAACAACAAATTTTAATTTGATACTTATTTTTAAGTATTTTTTGTTTTATACTGTACAATATTTCATATTGTACGGTATTATGACTGCAATTTAGTATTTCAGCAGCTTTTCTTAAAGAATCATAAGAAATCGTTATATTAGTATCTATATTAGTTATTTCAATTTTATAACTATTTTTTAAATTTAAAGAAGCTAGATGCGTTTACATTTTTGGTGATAGTATCATATTCAATTTGTCTTGCTTATCGAGAAGAACGTCAGCACACAATTTTGATTTCTCTGCTCTATGGAGCAGGGCTGCTTCACTAATTCTAGTCTTAGTTAAATCTGAATGTTTATAAACTGATCTACTTTTTATACCTTTTTCTGAATGAATATAACCTAAACCTTCATTATTTAAAATGTTATACTCAGGTTTAAGTAAATTAATGTAATAATTTTCTTTTTCCCATACAATCGATTTATCACAATATTCTAATATTTCCAATTTAAAATTTGAATATCCATTTTTTAATAAAGAAGAGTATATAATTGAATTTTTTTTTTTTCATTTATCTAAATGTAATAAATTGTAGTAATTATAAAATCTATTTCTTAAATTAACAGAACTTCCAATATAACTTTTTCCTATTAACAGATTTATCCATCTGTATACTCCGGATTTATTTTTATTGTAAGAAATAATATCAAGCTTTGAAATATATGCATTTTCGTAAACTTTTTTAAGACTAAAATTAAATTTAATATCTTTAGAATCAGTATTTAAGTAACGATTAATTAATATTTGCTGACCCTTAAATTGGATAAATGTAAAATAAAGGAGTAATAAGTTCAACTATGTTGAACGGGGTTATAAAGAACATTACTAAAATTCTTCTTGCTAAAGGAAGGTGACAACCATAAAATAAATTGTCTAGGAAATAATAAATAAGATGAAGAAATAAATATATAATCATAAGTTCCTGAAAAAGAATATAAAATTAATATTGCTAATAACATTATTAATGAACCTGCTAACGTCATTAAAAAAAATTGATAAGTTGCATATATTCTAGTAAATTCTTCTTTTTCTTTACCTTCTTTAAAACCTTGTTTATCACTACCAAATAAACCAATTAATAAAAACATAGGTATAAGTGATGTTTCAAAAAATATATAAAATATTAATATATCTAATATTACAAATACACCTATTAATATAGTTTCTAATATTAATAATGAAATTATAAAGTATTTTACATTTTCTTTTGTATCCCAACATCCTAATATAGATATAAATATTATAAATAAAGTTAATAATAAAAATAATAAAGATATTCCATCAACACCAGCTGCTATAGTATTAGTAAATCTAATTATAAATTGTGGTTCACTACAACTATAGTCAAATTTATTCCACATTATAATTAATATAATAATATTTATTATAGCTGTAGTTAATCCTATAATTTTTATTATTTTATCATCTTTTATACTTAAAATTAATAATGTACTTATTATAGGTATTAATAATAATAATATGATCATTTTTTTTTTAATTGTTTTTTTTTTTTACTTTTATAATAATTTCTTACTTTTTTTAATCTTCTTAAATAAATATATATTAATAATAATAAATTTTTTATTATTTTACTTGTTGAAGGATTTGAACCAACAATAAACGATTTAGAAAATCGATGCTTTATCCTATTAAGCTAAACAAGTTAAAGGCGAATAATGGGAATTGAACCCATATTAACAATGCCACAAATTGTAGTTCTACCTTTAAACTATATTCGCCTTATAAAACACTCTATGGGAATTGAACCCATATTAATAATTTCGAAGATTATTACTTTAACCTATTAAGTTAAGAGTGTGATATATATTTATTTGTCAGGAAAAAAAGGAATTGAACCTTTAAAACCAGTTTTGGAGACTAGCATTTTACCAATTAAATTATTTTCCTTAATTTTTAATTTACTATTTTTTATATATAGTAATTTAGAGAATTATATTTTATTTTTTATCAATTATATTTAATAAACCTTTACTTAATTCATAAATAAATCCTATAGTTAATATAAATATAAATATTGTTCCTATCCAAAAACCAAATAAGGAAATACTATATAAAACAGAAACAAAAGGAAATAAAAATATAACTTCTATATCAAATATTAAAAATAATATAGCTACTAAATAAAATTGTATATTAAATTTTTCTCTTGCTGTACCTATTGTGTCCATACCACATTCATATGGTGATAATTTAGAAAAATCTGGTTTATTAATAGGTATTATAAGATTTATTATTAACAAACTTATTAATATAATAGGTGCTAATATAATAAATAATAATAATGTATTCATTAAAAAAAAATTTTTTTTTTTATTATTTTTTTATTAACCATAATTATTTTTTTTTTTTTTCGGATAGGCAAGAATCGAACTTACAATCTTCTAATCCCAAATTAGAGGCGTTACCTATTACGCTACTATCCGTATACGGGCAGAATGGGATTTGAACCCATGGAAGTTATTCAAAACTTCTCTACGTTTCAAGCGTAGTACCTTAAACCAACTCAGTCATCTACCCAAATATAAAAGAATTAAATATTATAAAGTAAATTGAGGGAATAAAATAGTGGTTTTTTTAGAAATTAAGGTAATATTTATTGTACCTCTTAATCTATGATAAGCAACTAATATAGATAAAGCAATAGCTGATTCAGCAGCAGCTATTGATATTATATATAAACCAAATATTTGAGCTAATATATCATCATGAAGAATAGAAAAATAAAGAACTAAAATAGTAACGGCTAATAATAATATTTCAATAGATATTAATATTAATAAATAATGTTTTCTATTTAAAATAATACCATAAATACCTATTAAAAATAATAATAAAGCTAATTTCATTTTTTTTTATATTTTATATAGGAAAATATTATCCTTTTGTTTTTTGGAAAAAAGGGGATTCGAACCCCCAAGGATATATTATATCCGTAGTTTAGCAAACTATTGCCATACCATTAGGCGATTTTTCCATTATAGTTGAGCCTTATTAGTCTATGAATCCATCAATTATAATTTTATTAGACAAAGTAAAGATATGTTGAAAAGTTAAAAAACATATAAGAATATATATTACTTATGGTGATATAACTGAGGATGGTCTATTTATATACATGTTTATCTTATAAAAATTAATACTAAAATAAGCCGTAGCTCTGAATTGAACAGAGATCCGATCATTAACAGTGATTGGCTTTACCATTAAGCTACTACAGCTTTTATTATAATGCCTTGAGGATGACTCGAACATCCTACCCAGAATTTTCAGTTCCGTACTTTAACCTGTTAAGCTATCAAAGCATAAATTGAGAATATTGGGAATTGAACCCAAACAAAACAGATTAAAAGTCTGCTACTCTACCAATTAAGTTATACTCCCTAATAAAAAAATCAAAAAATCTATAATATTTTTGATATTATATAAGATTAGAGAGTGAATTGAACACTCATAATTAGGTTTGCAGCCCAATACTTTACCATTAAGATATCTAATCTATTTTTATTATGAAATCGAATAGAATTGAACCATTATTTTTTGCTTATCAAGCAAACACTTTACCTTTAAGTTACGATTCCTTTTTTTTTAATCTCAGTCCGATTCGAACGAACATTATAGCAGTGAAGGTGCTAGATCCTACCTTTAGATGATGAGATCTTTTGTGTGAATGATTGAATTGAACAATCTCTTTAAGGTCATGAGCCTTATGTGCAAAACCATTACACTTATTCACATTATTTTTTTTTATTTATGAATAAAATAATTTATTTTTAATTATGAGCTTTATATATAACTATTATATTTATTCATTTTTTTGAGGAGAGTAAGATTTGAACTTACATCTTTCCTGTTATGAGCAGTAGGCTTTACCATTAAGCTATCTCCCCTCTTTTTTTTTTTGAGAAGACTGGGATTTGAACCCAGAATGGTCGAAACCATCGCCTTTACAGGGCGATTGCAATACCAAAATGCTTTCTTCTCTTAATTACCTACTGAGGGATTTGAACCCTCACGCACAAAGTGCAAACAATTTTAAATCGTTTAAGTCTACCAATTTCTTCAAGTAGGCATTATATTATTAGCCAGATAAGGAATTTGAATCCATATAAGGTAATTTACAAAATTACTGCTTTACCAATTAAGCTAATCTGACTATATTTATATAAATAAATATATAAATATTTGAAATGAAAATATAGTTATTAATATTATAAATATAAAATAAAAATTTTAAAATTTTTATTTTATTTAAATGTTGTTTTAATAACATTTTGCTATATATTTTTTATTTATATTAATCAGATACAACTTATATAATACACTTAAAAATAATATATAGATATTATTTATCTTTATATTTATTTATAATTAATGTTTTTGTTATACATTTATTAATAACTATTAGATTAGCTATTTAATACTCCTATTTTAAAAAGAATATATCAAGATTTAAGATGTTATTTATTTTATTAATATTTAGTTTTACAATTTTATAATACTTATAATCAACACCTCCTAAAGATTATTAATTAAGTAAATCAATCATTGTCCATATTATATGGCTAACTAATATCACGTTTACTATACTAAGATTTACACCTTCTAATAACTAATCAATTAGTTATTTTTAATTAATTAAAAATTATAAAGGGTTGGTATAAAAATAAAAACTTCTATATACATTACCACTATTTAAATATCTAGAAATAGATTTTTTAGATATTTTAAAGGTTTTAGAAACTTCTCTAATAGACGGATAGATATTTAATAAGTGTTTATTTGAATCATAAACATATATTTTTATAATACTTATAATTCCAGTTGCTTTATTAGCTCTTGTTTGGTCTGTGTATAAAAGAGGTAAAGATAAAAATTTATTTAACTTAGCATAATCAAGATTTATTTTTAGAATATTATACTTATCAATATTAGTAGATAATCTATAAAAATTCATAACTTGTAAAATACATTCAATAGCTAATCTTACATCTTCCCTTATATGTAAACCATTAAAATGATATTTTACTAGATAATTTCAATGAAAAAAATATAAACCTTTAGTAAATCCCAATAACCAATAAGCAGTAATTTTTATATGACCTTCAGGTAAAATAAAATCAGTTCTTCTAGAATTCATGTTCATAATGAGATTAAAAATCATTGATTGATGTTCTTTATAAGTTGAATTTTTTACTAATGGGTATACTTTTATCCAATCTTTATAATCCAAATATTTCTTGGTTTTTAGAGGAAATTGTTCAAAAATAGGAATCAATATATTTTCTATAATAGTCTGTTTTTTAACTATTAATGCTACTTTATCATCATCTTTTTGAATAAACCCTCCATTAAATAAATTAGTTTGTATCCATTTTAATAAAGGTAAATCGTCCTTATGTAGTTTGATTTGAAACAACATAGAAGTTTGAATACGACCAGAAGTAAAATTAGGGTTATTTATTTTAAACATACCTTCTGCATCAGTAAAACCTACTAACCATTCAATAAGTTCAGGAGGCCATTCTGATACAGGTATATCATAATATTTATTATTTATCCATGGATTAGATAAATTAATTCCCTTAAAGCTATCAACTATAGAGAAAGTTAATTTAGACCGGTAAAATTTATTAAAGTTTACTTTTGCTAATCTTTGTGATTTAAATGAAGTAAAAATAAAATTATTTTTAAACATAGTATAAATAAATTTTGATTTCCTTTAATTTATGCATTAGCATAACTTGGTTATAAAAAACTTCTTTTCAAAGTATTCGATTCGTTAACGAATTATTTAGGATGGACAAAATATATATTTTGTCCATCTAAATAATATATTTATATAGATTAAAATAATTAATTTATATTTATTAACATTATAAAAGTTATAATAAACATAATATTTAAAAATTATTTCTGAAAATGAGATAAATAAAATTCTGATCATCTCAGATGATCGGAATAGTAATAGAATAGATTTTTAATATGTTAAGAGTTTTATCAAACATTTAGTTTCGGTAATATTTATATTACTTATTTATAATCTATACCGCTTAAAGGTAATTTGATATTATAGATCTTTGTCTATATATAAAATATATATGGTCATCGAGTCCTTTATATGATGACTTTCCTACCTATAACCAGTAAATATCTATATAAAAATTTTATATATTAGATTTTAATATAAAATATTCTTATTTTATTAATATTTTATAAATAAATATAAAAATTTTAAGTTTTTTTTTATTTTATTTTTTATATACTTTTTTTAATATTAAAGAATTTTGTATTTCGTTATTAGTATTAATTGCATTTTCAAGATATATTTCTGAATCTAAGGGGTTTAAGCTTTTAAATCTATCTAAAATAGTCTTACCTTCTTTATCCTTTACATCTAAAATTGAACAACCCTCTTGATTTGGATTTTCTTTACATGACTCGAAATATTGATTGATTTTTATATTTAAACTTTTTATTTTACTATTTAATTCGTTAATATTTATTTTTTTATCAGTTGGATTTGGCATACCTAATGCAATTAAACTTTTATCTAAACTTTACCCCATAAAGGTGTAAAAACCTTTTCTCTACCAGAAGATTGTAAAACGCTATCAACTGATAAAGAAATTCCTAAAATAATTTTACCTATTCCAAAAGCAATGCATACACTCTTGGCACATCCGTAGATAACACCATATTTTGTAGCATACCAATTTAAGGGGCTATTTCCAACTTCATGCTATTTAGTTTTTATAATATTATAAAAAGTATATAATTTTTTATAATTATTATATTAAATATATAATTAATATTTAATATTTTTTTGATTTGATTATGATCCAAATGAGGCAGTATAAATATTGAAGTTATAATTTTATTATTATTTAATTTCATAACACAAATAATATTATTTGTGTTATCTAATAATAATATTTCCCTTTTAAGAAATTTTGTAAATTTACCTAAAATTAATGAAGTATAAAAAGATCTTTTTAAGTTAGAGCTAAAACTATAAATTTTTTTTATTGAGCGTCATGAGTTTTTTTTTTCAGTCTTTTTTGTACTTAATTAATCGTAGCTGGTTTATTTGCTAATATAAAAAATGTACCTTCTCCTCAGTGAATCCCATGATAATCAAGGATTTAAATAAATAAAAATTTTTTTAATAATTAATTAATAAGATAGAAAGATTTTCTTATATTTTTTAAAGAAATGATTTCTTGAGAATTAATATTAGATGTAGCTATATCGGCCAATGTATTTTCTAATATACTTATGAAAGGAATAATAATAAGGAAATAAGAGAAGTAAAAGATTGTAGCAATAATACCTATATTTAAGAACGGAGCTTCGGCATGATTAGCACCGATCCACATTAAAATAAAGAAATTAGCTACAAATAACCAATAGAAAAATTTCATAAAAGGTCTAAATTGTAAACTTCTTATTTTAGATACATCAAGAATGGGTAATAAAAATAAAATTAATATAGCAGCAAACATAGCTATAACACCACCTAATTTATGAGGAATAGATCTTAAAATAGCATAGAAAGGTAAAAAATCATATTTTATATTAAATTAATTTATATTGCATAGAAGAATGTATATATTTATTTACTAACTGAATTAACTGATCTTTAGAAGAAAACCATATATAAATTCTAGGTTTATTATCTTTTAAATGAATAGAACATTTTAAATTAAATTTTGTAGTTAAAATATTAATTAATAATTCTACTTCTTTAATAGAAAAACCATAAGTATTTAAATGTAAACCTTTTCCATGTTTACTTCCATCATCCATAATCCAATAAGCTAAACTAATAGGTGTTAATAATTCTATTATATTTTGAGATATTATTTTTTTTACCTTCAGAGTTATAAAATAATTCTCTATAATAATTAAAACATGGTAAACTTAATGTTACAAAAGTTTTATGTTCATAATATTCTTTAGAATTTTTTAAAGAAGTTAGTTCTGTAGAAACTTTAATATTTGTTCCTATTTTAGGGATATAATCTTTATTACAATAATCTTTAAATATATTATATACATGATCAAAATATTCTTTATGTTTATTTGTTTGAGTGTACATAAATCTAGAATTTCCAATTAAAGATCTTTTTTGTATATGACCATCACCTAATAAAATACCTATTAGTATTTCAGATATTTCAGATGGAATAATAATTTTATTTTTTTCTTCTTTTGATAATTGTTTTTTTATAGGCAATATATATAATAAATCTATTTTATATATAATTATATTCTATTAATTAATATAAAAATTTGGACTATATCTTTAGTCATTTTTTTTATGACTATCTCACGTGTAGTCTCTGAGATTCCTATTAGACAGCTCCGCGGTCCTCACACCTAAGGTGTGGAGACTATAAAAATAGTCGTTGGTTATCTGCTGATTATCCATTGTTATATCCTTAACGTTGTTACGCCAAATATTTTATATAAAATATTTGGGTATTTAAGGTTTTAGAAGTTCCCAGCATATGGTGAGATAAAACACAATTATTTACATAATTGTTCGGCATTTTTTACATACCACTCAGGTACTCAAAAATTTAATTTTCATAATAATATAAAAAAAATTATGAAAATTAGAAAGCATATATACTTTCGACAGATATTTACATATCTGGATTAGACTATGTCATTAGCGTATTTCATACAAAATATTCGCTAAAGGGCGCTCATGGAAAGATTATTGTTTACATTACTCACTTTCTAGTCGTTGAACGTTTATATAATTATTAAAATGTTATTATATATTTCGCTGCAAGTTGAACAATAATATATATATATTATTGTTATTTCTTGACAATTCACCCTTTTTTTCCCTTATAATTTATAAAAAGGGCAACGGTACCATATAAAATATATAATAAAATAGTATATATTATTTATAAAAATTTTATGGTTAATCTATAAGAGTATTATTTTTTAACCATAAATTTATTTGATTTTCTTTATATACTATAGCAGCCTCGAGAGCTAAAACTCGAGAGTTATTATAAGTTTTAAAATAAAAATATTTTCTTCTAGGTTTTA